CTCCAACTGCCAGGATGCCAAATCAACTACATTTAAGATAACTGTATTTGTCTTTGTGAGGATCTGTAATTTTCTGATTGTTTTGTCTTCTTAAACTGCAATATTGATCACAAGTATCATCTTCATTCAAGGCTGCCAGCCAAGGAACGTGACCTAAGTGCGCCTTTACAAATCAACTACCACATGCAACAGAGTTGGCACTCACAGCTAAGTCACAGAATAACGTAGGTTGGAACGGCCTCTGGAAGTCACACACTCCACCCTCCTGCTCAAAACAAGTCTCATTAGATCAGAGTGCTCAGGGACTTGTCTGGCTGTCTCCAAGGTTGAGGATTCCACAACTTCTCTGGGCAACCTGTTCTAATATTTGACTTATTTCACTACAAGGCACACAGTGCTTGCAATTTTCCCAAATCATTCATTCAGAAAACTGTTTCTTACATATTTAAATCATCAAGACCACACTGAGTCCATCCCCTTACAAAAAATCGGGAAAGATGGAAGTAGGTGTGTGAGGAAACGAAAGGAAGGATGAGAGCGAAGACAATATCACCCAAAACAGCCAATGCAGGCGAGGTCAAAGACAAGGGATGAGCAAGAAGAGAAGGGAGACCATGCTCCCCTTGTTTACCACACTCCTCCCTCTATTCAAAACTGTTTCACTGTATCCAGACACAGAAAAATGGTTTTCATGCAGGAACTGAAAATGCCATCTCAGCATTAAATCTTTGCAAACACTCAGTCCTCTTAAAGGCTGAAAGAAAGAAAATAAGTCTGGTGGCAAACAATCACACCAACAGAACCTGTGGTAGGGAAAAAAAAATAAATCTTGACTTTGCCGAACAAAATTGTCAAATGATCAAAATCCTACCAAGGAATTCCTTCTTTTAGCATATAGGGCAGCTGGTTTGTGTGTCACACAAAAGCAAAAATCCCCAAATTAAGATGAAGATGAATCCCCAAATTAAAACTAAGATGAAGGCCCTCTATTTGAAATACCACCTGAACACCACCACCTTACTCATCAAAATCAATCTGTAAGTCCCCCTGAATTAATTATGCTGACAACTACTGGGAACAGGAACTTATTCAGGTCTTCAGAAGATCACTTTCCAGCTGTACCCCAACCCTACAACAGAAGGAGGAGAAAGAGGAAATGGAGCAGTGCTGTATAGTTTAAAAACCCCACAATTCTAGCATTCAAAATACTCATGAACAAGTTTAGTGCTTCTGTATTAACCATGCAGAAATGGTTATCAGAGCACCGTGGTATTAATTGTACACTTCAGATTAGGTGTGGGAGGAATAAAGAAAAGAAATGATGATGCGATGAGATTAGACAAAGAATGACAATTTTTCTTCCCTCCTCGCCCCGGCTCCTGCCAAACCACCAGCAAGTATTAGTACACTTTAGGTCTGGATACTTGCCAGTTTGCACAAAGGCCAACAAAACCAGAAGCTGCTGAAAATACAATAGATTTTGGGGACATAAAAGTGAATAACAAAGATAGACAGAGACTGAAGTTAACTGCTCCTAACTTCAATAAATACAGCAAGTGAATGGGGAAAAGACTGAAAAAGCATCATGACAACTGTCAACTATTCAAAGTTCAAAACAGTAAATTAAAATTTAAAGTAGGAATCCCTCAGTTTCCTTTTTTACTTTTTTAAATAACAGGATAGGCTATCTTCACACCCCCAATAGGATGCCAGTCACCAACAACCTTCTGTGAAACAACCACCAGTACACGAAAAGAATGGTGATCTTGAGAGCTGCAGCACTGTACTGTAATGAGAAGACACAGAAGGAAGCAGCAACCTTTCCTTTCTCTTGAAAAGACTCAGCAAATAGTATTTAATGTATTTTAAAAGTTTAAAGAAAGAATGGGTTAAAAAAATGTATCCTGCACGACAATACCATACAGTGCTGCAGGACCACTAGACAAAAGGGTAAGGGGATGCAGTGTACTGCCATAAAATCATAGAAGCAGCTTTTACTGTATAGTGCCCACAAAAGAAGAGGCCAAGCACTTTTCCTCTTCACTCAGCTGTTTTACAATTGCAAGCCAAAGGTCAACTATCTTCACTCACTTTTGGAAACCAGCCACAAGATTACTAACAACCAGCTTAATGGCTACAGTTCAAATGCTATTCAATCAAGCCCCGAGTATGTGGGTATGCAGCAGTAATGGCACCATGACATCACAGGCAAGTTATCTGCTGAAGTCAGAGGGAATCAGACAGGGTGCATCTTTGCCTTCTCTCCCTGTCACAAAGAGAAACATGAACTTTTAAGGCGTGGAAATTAAAGCGTTATAGATTTTGTTGTTTCTTCAGTGTGGCCAAGACATAGGATTTCTCTGTGAAACAATCTTTTGCCATCATTATATCTGCCATCAAACTAACTTGACTTTCCAGAGGTGCATCAAGACAGGTGTCCAACAGCTAGATTTGAAGAAGTCTTCATTACACGTCAAGTTACATCTGTGCCTCAGCAAGGGCTATCTAAAGAGCAAAGCATGCGGGTGCATTCAACACATTACAAGTTTATTTCTCTTCCCAATTCATTTGAGGGCAGCAGGATTGATCTGATTAATAAGACAGATCACATGAGGCACAGAAATGGGATACCCTGAGATTTATCAGTCATCAGCATAGTACTAATGGAACAGATCTAGCATGTCTGACAGAAATTGATTTCCACAACCTGAAACACATTTGAAGTGAACCAGACATTCAAAATGACAACGTGCCACGAGTTTGTCAGCCTGAGAAAAGTGAACTGTAACAGTTCTAATTGTTGTTGGCTTATTTGTCTGGAATTTGCCAGCTTCAGACACTGAACCTTACCATGCTGCACAGAACTCATCTAAGCTACGTGCTGAAGGATTCCTGAAACTCTTGGTGTTTCCACTAACTTCAGTGATAATCTTGAGCAATTTACCATTTCTATGACTCAGTTTACTCATCTATGAAGTAAATAGGTAAAATTTGTAAACATTTTCAGAATACGAGCTGAAAGGAAATACAGTTTGAAGAACTGTTCATCAACACTTTGAGGAAGTGTTCAGCCTAGGTTTTGCTTAGAGTAAGAAAATCCCTCTCTGTATTCTAGGAAAAATACAGAGTTTCCTGTACTGTAACAGCTTACGTACCAACCATGTGACAAAATCTGTATCTATGGGATGACATCAAGTGGCTAGGACTCAAGATCTTACTATCAGCAACTGTACCACTGCACAGCTGTAAGAGTTTTAGCACAGACTAAACTTTCAAAGGTCTAAAAAAAAGTTATTTTTCCTTTAATTCTTAGAGAAGAAAATATTTTTAAATGAACGCAAATTTTACAAGACATTTTTTCACGTACTTCAGCAAACTCCTAAACCAAACTACATGAAAATAATTAAAAATACACTTTAAAATAAACTCTATTTCATTATACTTAATTTTTCCTTCCTGTTCAGCATTTTCTACAAGCTTACTTCAGCTGTGCTGTACTTCAAATACACTATAAAAGCTGAGAGCAGCCAGTAGGAACCCAAAATAGAAAACCCAATATACAGGTCAAGTTAAGAAAAATAAATGAAAGATTATCACAGAAGACTTCTAAAATTCTGACAGTCTTGAATGTTTAAAAATAGCAAAAGGAAATATTCTGGTAATTTACATAAACACTGGAACTGAGGCGTACAGGTTTAACGGGCATTTTTAGGCCAATAATGGGCCAGAGACATGTACAATATACCCATTATTTTAGAAGTTAACAATCTCAAAGCAGGATACATTTTTGCAACCTTTATCTGTTGATAGCCACAGAATATTACTGCAGTTTCAACAAAGCCACAGTTATGTTATTGAAATATCAGCTATAAAAGATGCATATTAAGTTTACACATAGAGGTTGTTTTTTCCAACTTATTGTAAAATAGTAAAATCAAGCCCTACCCTGGCAAAAATTCTGAGCAGATAAGTAATTTCACTGAGGTCTGCAGGACTTGATTTGTCAGCATACATTAAGTTACAGCCTTGCATCCTCAGGATAGGCACCTCTCAAAACTGTTTCTACTCAAAGCATTTTAGAAAGCAGCAGCTTAAAATACTTCAATACTAAATACATCACTCTAGGAAGGTTAAGCTCATCTTATATGTTTACGGAGAAATACTGACTCTGAAGCAAACTCCATTAAAACATTCTACAATGTTTTGTATTACTTGGAAGCAACAAAGCTCAGAGCTATGCTTCACTGAGGCCAAATCACTACGGATTTTTATATTTTTACTCCCCCCAAAAATAAAATTTTGGGCTTGTTCTGTGTGTCCAGGTTTTTTAAAATAAAGTTTTAGAAAGTCAAGTATTTTTCAAATTCCTTTAATATAGCCAAGATGAAGCCAAAAAGCTTTTGATATATTGAAAGAACCACAGACCAAAATTCCTCTGATGCTCTCCAACATCCACTTACTCTGCACAGATCCATTAAATATTCAGCCACAAGCTTATAACTCGAGTTCATCAGGACTGAAGATAAAACTCAGCACCAATATTTGACAGCCTGATGCTAAAAGATTATCTACTGAGAAATAATCTAATCACTGTTCTTTGATATTGGAATCCTTGGCAGGAGGCAAAGGAAAGGAATACCAAATTGATCTTGATTAGTTTAAGGGGTTTCCTCTCACAAAAGGGAAATCAGTGCAGATCATCTTGTACTTCTGCTTATTTGCTACCATGTTTATGACTAAGTTTTCAAATATTCCAATCTCAGAAGAGATAAATGAGAGATCGTGGGATGCACGCTTAACACAGAAATGAAACAGCTTCTCCTACCCATAAAGAGGTCAGACTGGGATTGAGGAAACCTTGAGGTACCCTGTTAAAAGGAGATGGCGTTCGGTGGGGACACAGAAGAGGGTCAGGTCTGACGGACAGGAAGAGACTCAGGACAGAAGCTGAAAAGCCGAGGGCGAAAGCGGGAACTCCCGAGCCCGTACCCTCCACTTACCTTAAGGATATCCCCTCGTTTGAAGCTCAGCTCGTCATCCGCGGTGGCTTTGAAGTCGTACTTGGCGATGGCTTCCATGCTGGGGCTGCCGCGCACGGCGGTGCGGGCGGTGGGAAGGAAGCGCTCCCCGAAGCCTCCGCTCCTG